AAAGATTATGTTCACTATTAAAGTTAAAGTTTTCATAACTTGATGAATATGCATGATAAGATTATGAAATTTTGAGCATATGTTTAGTGATAAGATGAGATTATGACTGTTAAGTTTCAAAAGTTAAAGATGAGAAATGAATAAGTTATGAAGATAAGAAAGCATATACGTAAAGATAAGTATATATATGTGCAAGAATAGTCATAATAAAGTTAAGTTGTTAAAATGAGATGTTCATGAGTAATTTTCATATGAATGATGAGTAATTTTCATATGAATAATGAGTAATTTTCATATGAATGGTGAGTCATATGATGGAGTTTTGATATCATATATGGAGTATACAATTTAGTAAAGATTATATTAAGTATGCTATATTATATCATGAGAAAAGTTAATGAGCAAATGTGATAAGTAGAGATGATTATTAATGAGATTATTATGAACAATTCTCATAAGTGATGAACAATTTGATAAAGTTTTAGTTAATATGTTGAGTATACAATTTTATATAAATTGTTTTAAATCTCACATATTAAGAACATGATGAGAAAGTTAAGAATGATATGATTATTTTCACTTTCAAGATAATTAAGTGAAAAATAAGTCAATATCTAAAGTTTGAGAAGTATGATGTATGATTAATTAAGTACTTGATTGAGTAAAAGATTAAGTTAAGATGAGTTTATAAACCATGATGATGATGATGATGGTAAAAAGTAAGTTTAAGTACTTAATCAAGTATAATGTGAAATATAGTATTTTTCACATTTGAGTTATAGCATGTTATGAAACATATTGATGTTTAAGAAGATATGTTTTATAAGGTTAAGTAATTAACCTTGAGAAAAAGTAAAAAGTGAAGTTAAGTATAATCTTAACTTGAGAATAAGAAAGTTTAAATGAATTATTAGAAGAATGGGATAAGTTAATAATCCTAAGAAATTATTGAGTATACGAGCATAGTACTTAGTATATTTGTCTATATTTGAATTGACTTGCAGATACAGTACCAGTACAGCACTTATCGTGTTACAAAAGATTTCAAAGATGAAAAGGTGGGGACCCTGAATGGGTAGCACATTGAGTACGATATGTGATATGGGATGAGGAGACCATCAGTTGTCTCAAAAGTTATATCCCGAAGTTTAAGGTTTATTACGCTTGGGATGAGGAGGCATTAATTTGTCTCAAAGATTATATCCTAAGTTCTGATGGAGGCGAGACGGGCCTGAGAAATATCCATCAGAGTGTGCACACGTATCCGATTAACCATCGGCCAGAGAAATGAAAGTTTAAGTTTAAGTTACCGATCAGATATCGGTTTATGATTATCCATATTCGTTACTCACCCCCATGAGTTTTAGTTTCAGGTAACAGGTTAACGAGGAGGTGTGAGAAGAGCCGTGTGGTGTGGATCGTGGAAGAAAATGAAGACAAGCTTTAATGTGGACATTTATAAAGTTTGTATAATTAACCACGTTTCAAATATTTCTGCTACGCACATTAATTATTAAACTTGCATTTTAATGAATTTTAGATTTCAAGTTTTTATGAGAAATATGATGATAATATGTTAAATGCAAGTTTAAAGGAAATCTGTTTTAATAAGTCTAAAGAAGTATTAGACAACAGTTTAAAGATAAACGGATTTTCAAGAAGACGAGTTTAGTAGCATCCCGAGTAAGTTGCAATTATTTCGAAAAAGTTAAAGTGATATCGAAGTAAAAGGTTGCGAAAAAGTTACTCTGATAAGCGGGGTGTTACAGGTGTACTTAACTCTTCTGAGTTCTTACTAGAGTTCTGACTTATTCTAGAGTTCTGCTTCAACTGGAGTTCTGGCTTAAGCTAGAGTCCTTGGACTTAGCTGTTCTAGAGTTCTGTCTAAAATTCTTGGTCTTACCTCAACTTTTTAGAGTTCTCCATCTAGAGTTCTCTTCCTTACAGGAGGATGGTTATCTAGGCCCCATACTTGAACTTGAATAAGCACTTGCAAAACTTAAAACTTGGCTTAGGTGACTTACCTCGGAGTCAGCGCGGAGTGAGCGTGGCGTGGTCATGCTTTTCTAAAACCTTTTAAAGTATCCAGAACGTTAAATGCTCTGATACCAAGCTGTAACACCCCGCCTTGACTAGCTTTGACTTTTAAAAATCAGAGTAAATTTTTCGCTTTTTATTTTCGAAATGTCGTGCGAGTTTATTTTCGAAAATACTTACTTAATTGCGGGATGCTACTAAACTTACTTAACTTACTATTTCGGACATGAATAAAACATTCAACCCCTCGTGCCACTACGGCGATAGTGAAAACATACATACAATCCGATAATCTCGCACTACTTAGTCTAGAGGAAGCTTTAGACTGAAAACATATGTAACACACGCATACTTATAAATACATAAGGACATAAAATGCGTGTAAAAATGTCCTCTGCACATGACCACAAATGCCACGTCTGCTCACTCGACATGCTGGACTCCGATACCTGAAATAAGAAAGACTGTGGGAGTGTGAGCACATCTGCATGCTCATGGGTAAACTGAAACTGTAATAATCTTAACTGAAACCATAACTTAGCAGCTGTAATAATAAACTTAAACAGTAAACATAAACTGAATAGCAGCATATAAATAAACAAGTTGTACTGTAAACTTTAACTTTTCTTAAACTTTAACTTTGGTCCGTCGGCCCTCGGCCCTCGGCCACTCGTATGCACAACCCGATCTGCAGGTACCAGGGGGATATTAAGGCCCTCGGCCGCCAAACCCTGGAAGAACTTAATCTCTCGAACATACCTCAGTCATGGTAAAATTTATTATAGACGGTGTAGAACCCAGTGTCTAACCCTTACTCTGGCCAGCACTGAATTAGACAACGTCAATAATAATATATCATGGACTTCGATATATGAGCTGAACTTAATCTTTCTTTTCTTTTCTTTTCTTAATCTTTGGTCCATTGACCCTCGGCCCTCGGCCGCTCGTGTGCACAACCCGATCTGCGGGTACCAGGGGGATATTAAGGCCCTCAGCCGCCAAACCCTAGGAGAACTTAATCTCGACCACAAACGGAATAATTCAACCGTTCGGGTAAATAACTTACTCGCGTACCTTATACAGGATAACTGAAATGCGCAATGTAATGCCCTGTAAAGGCTCCCACCTGGTAACTGAAAATATCTGGACTGACGCAAGTGCTCGAAGTAAGGTAGCGGTCGGAGGCTCGACTCTCCTTAGGCTACATAAACATATAAGTAAAAATATGCTAAATATTGTGCTCAAATTAATTATTTTATATGCTTGACCTAGATGCTTGACCCGGACGTATTTAGACTGTTATGGAATTTTTCTTAAAAATATTCTAAGTCCGGAAAATTTAACTGTTATTCTTGGACTGACTGATTAGGCTCGGAAAAAATATTTAAATTTCGGAATAAAACTCGGACCGAAATTATCGAACCAAAACTAACTCGAACCGCCGGCTAAACCGGTTGGTTCGCTAACTGGCCGGACCTCCGGCTATTTTTTCCGGTGAAAATGGACTCAACCCAACATAACATGGTATAAGACATGTAAAAATACCAAGTTTAACTACAAGACCTCGGTTTGGGTTTATACTTAGTCTGGTAGGGCCGATATGGCTCGTACAGATCCTAGGTCACCGAATGAACTTTCTCAACTCATAAATTTGCTTAAGGCCGAATACTATACCTCAAAAATCATGACTTTTAGGCTTGGGACAATGGCATTTAACTCGCATGAACATAGGCTTGGGTTCGGAGGTGAAAATAACTCAATTTCACAATCAACTTGACCGAACCATTGAACTTAAAACATGTCCATCTTTTACCAATGTTATAAACATGATTTATGAGGATTTTTCAGCTATTAATCTCGGCTATATCATGCTTGTACTTGAAAATCCGAATTTAAGGGCTTAACTTTCAAAAATTCGAAACTCATCCTTAAGCATGCTCATGAACTCATTTTCCTACATGATAATTCCTATTTTACCATGTTATAGCTGAGAAAAATGAAAAAACACGAGTTTACCTTGCTCAAAATCGAAATGGTGGTTGGAGGCCTTGCTCGGTGCTAACTTGCGGCCCTAGGACTTGGCTCGACTTGGAGGATGAAATGGCTTAGTTTGTTAAGCTCAAAAGACTTAGAATGATCCAAAAAAAAACATATGGAAGGTGCTAAGTCTCAAGAGAAAACGAAATGAACTTGGTGAAACTCGGTCACTCTCCTTCCTTCTCATTCACGCGCGCGGTATGGGCCTTGTTGGTGCTCTCGGTTTTCCCCTCTCTTCCTCTCAAAACTATAAGTTCTCTAAGTGTCCAAGAGCTTGAAAAATGCTGGGGAGAGAGATTTTAAACGTGGTCAAGGGAAAAGACCAAGACTTTGAGGTGGGGAACACAATGTCCCCTCTACACGCGCGCCTAGGCAAGGGACAAGCCTTGATGTTGTCTTGAGACATGCTCCACGATTTGGGGGCTTGGTATTCTGACTTTATACTGTCCAATGTGGTCAAAAATAGTGGAGAACATGCTGGTCTTGGTGCCTTGACCGAGGTCCCAAAAATAGGGGACATGTCCACCCACACGCGCGCCTAGGTGGGGGACAAGCCTTGAGTGTACTTGGAATGGTTTTGGACATGCTTCCACGTTTTAGGGGACCTTGTTGTTGACCTTGAGCTGCCCAAGATGTCCAAATGGTGGAGGGAACAAGTCTGGTCTTGTGGAGGTGAGTGGAAGGGGACAAAGGAACACTCTTTTCCTTAATTTAGGGAGCCACTTCACAAAGCTCAACACTAGTCTCCCCTTGACTTGTCTTGAATGGTTTGGAGGCTTTGAATGCTGAATTTGGGTTGACCAAGACATCCAAAAGGAAGGAGACATGGCTGGTCGGCTAGGAGGGTGAGTGGAGGGGACAAGACACCACTTTTCTCCTTAAATTAAGGCTCCTCTCACAATCTCTCATGCTAGTGCACTTTGACCATGCTATCCACTCTTGACCACGACTTGAGGAGTTTGGTTGCTGACTTTGGGACGTCCAAGACATGCAAATGGAGTGGGGAACATGTTTGGTCAGGTTGGAGGTGAGTGGAGGGGACTAAGACATCACCTTTCTCCTTAAATTAAGGCTCCACTTCACAATGCTCCATGCTAGTGTCTTGTTGACTTGCTTGTCCACTCTTGACCACGACTTGGACTAACTTTGACCCCTCTTAAACTCCATAATACTCACATGATCTTGGGCTATAAGACTTGGGCCGCAAATTCATGTTTTGGGCTCGAAAACCATACGCGCGTGGGCTTGGCGCGACCTAGTGCGCGGTACTGCGAGGCGCGCGGGCTTTGGGCTGAAAATGCCACTTATGTGCTGAGGTTTTCACCACTTCCAGACACATTATATGTTGGACTTATTGCCTCAAATATTTAGGAAAAATCCGTAATAACTAAGCCAAGATTTGGGCTTAAGCACGGCCACGCGCAAGGCTTAGGCGCGGTTTGCTAGGGCTCGGTGCACATGGTTCTTTTGGACCAAGGGACCAGCTTGGTTCTTGGCTAAGTAATGGCTGGACCCATGAGCCATTATACTTAGAAAAATGCCACTTGGGCTCAGCCATATCCAAGAGCTTGACCCGAACGAAACTTGGAACGGGAGACTCGGCACCACACACGAACTAGGTGCGGTTATCTTGGCCGAGGAACAGACTTGGTTCTAAAGCTCATTCATATCAATCTTATACTTAGAAAAATTCTAAGTAAGTCTACAAGCACGACTGGGGCTTGATCAAGACTCGGGATTACTAGGCTCGAGACTTGACTATGCGCGAACTAGGCGCAAGACACGCGACCGAACATACTGGGTTCAGGACACGGCTTAACTTAGACGATTTATCGGAACATATTGGGTTCCGACATTCGTCAACTGGAGGTAATTAATCCCACTAAATAAAATCCATCGCTAAAATAAATGGACCGGAATTAATAACTGAGATTGAATAGCTAAATAACTGGGCTCAAAACTCAAGACGAGCAATATTAATAAAAGGAAATAGTTCAAACTGGGAACTAAACTGTCACTTTTATTAATAATGGAAACTGGGCTATTACATTATACTACTAATGTTAAATCATTTGAAGGTTCGATGACTAGGGTTCGGAACGAACAAATCATTCGGATAAAATTATTTGAAAAATTAAAATGGACTTAATTTATTGGATTGATCTTGGTCTTGACTTGTCTTAGAAAATTCTTAAGAATAATCTAACTTAATTGAGCACTTTCTTATAATTGACATAAATCTTGAATTTCTTAAAATTATGAATTTCACTTAAAAGTCGAGCAGTGAAAATCGTCTTAATAATATAATAATATTCGGGGCGTTACATAGACGGAGCCGCGCAGGTGCAGAACAACTGCTAGAGGAGAGGTTCGTTGGACGGAAGACGATGGAAGCCGAGGTTGGGTTTAGGGATTTTGGCTAATCAAAATTCTTCACAACTTTCCTCCATTCTTCTGAGCCTTAAAGAAGAAAGAGGCACAGGCGATGCAGCCGTATCAAACGATGTTGTTGACGTGCGGAGGTGGCGAAGCGGGCAGTGTTAGGGTCACGGACGCAGCAAACTGCGATGGAGAGGTTCTGGTGCGACCAGGTAATGAAGACCAACGAGTGCCCCTGCAACTGATGTACGATGAAGTCCGCTAGCCCACGACGTCTACTTTCCAGCGGGTAGGGTTTGTTGGTTGCGAAAGACGAGTGTTGCCTACATTTTAATTTTTTATCCTTAGTGTAAAATGTAAGATTGTGTGTAATTTGGTTTGTTTTGGGTGGACCTTTTTGCAGGTGGATCTGGTCAGGGATGCTTCGACAGTGGAGGATCTGAGAACGGTGTGCGCCGGCGGCGGGACCAAAGCTACGAGTGGAGGGTATCGCACCGGCAACAAAAATGGGGTTTACAAATTTGAGATTAAAATCAGAGCTTGCCCAGGCCCACGGCGACCTTGGCGACGGCACAGGGCCCAATTAAAAATAGGGGCACCACAACCAAATTCACTAATTGTACTTTTAGTTTTTGTTTCTTTCCGGTATGTGAACAGTGTGGAGAGAGACTATAATTCTCATTATTGTGGAGAGAGAAAATCACTAATCTGTCATTATATAAGAAGAATAACCTTTTTATAAATTTAGAAAGTTTTTCCCGCAATAATCATTAAATATATCCTAATTATAGTAACAGTTGGACAATTGTGAATAAGCACAAAACGGCTCCTTAATTGCAGTGTTTCCTTAATTCTAGCTTGCACAATTAAATCGGCGTGCAACAACAAATCCGTTTGGCTTTTTTTTTTTAAACTTTCCGACAAAAATATCGGAATTTTTGTTTTACATCTAAATTTGAATTTTTTTTCAACACAAAATCCGCTAAAAGTTTAGATATTCACGTGTACAAATTAGTTACATATTGGATTCTTATTAGGAATGAATTATGAAATTAAATAAAACTTTTATTAAATAAAAATTTTTTGGACGACATCAATTTATATAAATTTATATGGATATTCAAAAAAAAAAAATACGACATTAATTAAAAACATTATTTTTTAAAATTGATTCGCAACATTCATCGAAAAAAAACTGTACAATATTTTCTTGGTGTGTACAATAAGTTGCTAAATAATTGGAAAGAATCTCACCTTGCTAAGAATTCGAATATCATGCAACTCTTCACAATATTTAGTCCGCATTTATCCGATGTAATATAAAAATTAATTGGAAAGTAAGTTGCTAAATAATTGTTAAAAAAAAAGGACATTAATTAAAAGACATTGTTTTTCAAAATTGATTCACAACATTCATCGAAAAAAAAATGTACAATATTTTCTTGGTGTGTACAAAGTAAGTTGCTAAATAATTGGAAAGAATTCCACCTTCCTAAGAATTCGAATATTATGCAACTCTTCACAATATTTAGTCCGCATTTATCCGATGTAATACATCAATTAATTGGAAATTAAGTTGCTAAATAATTGTACAGAATCCCATCTTGCTTTGAATTCGAATATTACAATTCTGAATAATTGGAAAGAGTCCCATATGCAATAAGCAGGAATTAAAAATGTTACAAAAAATGTTACAGTTATTGTATTTTAATTGGTGATAAATGTTAGTGGCGGTTTTTGAGAACTGCCACGAAAGAAAACATATATATATATTGATTGGACAGTGAAAATTTGTCGCCACATTTATAATTAGATGCGGTTATGAATTGTCACTAATTAATGCTGGAAAAGTGCATTCATTGTGGGGTAAACATATAGCGTCACTTTTTCCAGTGATTTTGTGAAACTGCTATTACATTGCTTGCGACATTTGTATAGGTGGCAGTTTAACAAATGCTGAGAAATGTACTGGTGGCGGTTAAAAACCGCCACTAAATTTAAAATAAAGTGCCGCTAGAATTAATAATTTTTGTAGTGTAATTGCTGGTGTAAAAACCCTAGTACATCTTCAGAGCAGGAATTTCCTTTCTTTAAAAAAAATCATTGGATAGCCCAACCTTACTATTTTACTATTAGGATGGCACAGCCGGCCCACTATAGTAAGGTTCTATAATTTATTTTTATTATTATATCATGATTTATCTAATAAATGAGGCAATAAAATGTGTTTTATTAATCCATATAGAATATTTTATAAATAATCTTTATGTACACATACAGATTATGTAATCTTTTTGCACTTCCAAACCTAAATGGCAACAATACATGATGTTAATAAGTACTTTCTTCCAATTTCTATAAAGTAATACAACTAAATAAATTATTATAAGAGAACCATTTTGAGTTTCTGAATCAGTACGTGTCCAATAGTACACAGACCAAACTTTATGTGTAATTTTCGTACTATACATGCAAGAGAAGATAACATAAAAATACAGGTCGTCTTATATGCATATAAAAGATATTAAAAGTTCTTCTTCTCAATGACATTGATAATCTTATAGAAACAACAAAAGCCTCTTGTCAGCCCACCTTTTCAGTGGTACAGTACCTGTGGAGCTCTTCAAAATATTTAATCTTGAACAACGGTTAGTAAACTGACAATGTACTGCCAAAATGGCCTCCCGTCATTCACGTATACACAAATTACCATGCACTGTAATGAAAATGTGAATTAGTTAAGAAAGAATGTTATGTGAATAACTTAGTTGTCAAAGTGTTCATCTATTTGTAAAAATCATATAGAACCAAAGTGTTCTACCATAACAACAAGATCATGCAGATTCATAAGGGACAAGCTAGCATCTTGAAACGTTAAAATTATATTTCCTTTTTCTTTTTCCTATGACAAGCAGAAGCAGAAGATTTATCTGGTTTAATGGCAAATGTTTTCAATGTGACTAAATTTACAGGCACAAGTCATTGATCGAGATGAGGCAGCACTAAATAATAGAATAAGTTCATGGCAACAAAGATGAATAAGAATTATGCTCTTTGATATCCAAGACATGCATGTATAATGAACAAAAGACCGAGAGAGAGAGAACTCAAATAGTACATTCACTAAAATTCTTCCAAAATCGAGGCCATCAAGGATCCATCCACTTTCTTCAGTTCATTAGTATCATTGTCTCCTAAAAAATAAATTATAACTCCTTGCAATGATTTTCCTCCAATCATGAAAATTTACAATTGTGAATGCACAATACAATTCACCAACTATTATGTTCAACAATTAGATTATCTATGTCATTATTCTCTTAGGACACCATCATCCATGCCGTTCGAGTTTTGATACATTGGTCCATAGGTGGGGGAAATTGCACCGTTGTTCACGCCGAAGCGCTCGAGCCAGACGATGATAGAAAAATGAGGGCGGAAAAAGAAAAAAAAAAAATTGAAGAGATTCTTGCAAAGGAAATAAGCACGGCATACGACAGATTGAGATTTGGAGCCTTCTTGCTCCAAAGGAAATAAGCACGGCATACTTTCAGGAGACGAATGGAACTCGCAGGGCAAAAAATCGCAGACAAAACGACACTGCTTTGAAGCCAAAACGACGGCGTTTAATTGAGGGCCACGCGTCAATTATAGAAGGCTAGTGTTTCTTTTTATAGATAAGAGAAATAAAATATAAGAGAATAGATGTAAATAAAGTGATCAAGAGGCGTGATTGTATTAATTCCTGAAGTCTTTAACAAAGAACCTATATAATTTCCTGTAACTATTATT